TAGTTAAAACCGGTCTTTTGACAATTTATTTAATATAAAATTATATTTTTACCAGCTTACTAGATCTGAAATATGTATAATATAGAACTATAAAAAAAGTCTTTTGATATATATTATATAGGGATGGCCGCTATACGTCATTTTATATTAAACTGTAATGTATTTTTTTTGTCTTAATGGAGACAAGCAGCTTTAATTTCATGTAAAATAATTATTTTGGATACTTTAAAGTTTGCATGCGCCGATGAATATTTAAGGATTGCGGTTAACGAGTATGTTAATTATGTCAACTAACACCTCCATTGTCCGAGCACGTGTATGCTTGCTCCTTATTAGTAAAGGTGTTATGATGAATGGCTACCGCTACGTCTTTTTATTTTTATCAAATCATAATCATTGGATTTAAATTAAATACTGTGATAATTTCCAATCAACTATTTTAATAGTGATCTAAATTAGGTGGATAACTTCAAACACAGTTTTGTTTAATCTTGTATTTTGAAATCATTAAGAAATATCAAAGAGATGATACGCTGCAATGTTATCTGACTAAACATTGAAAATAAGCGATATGAATTCAAAGTTTAAAACTCACTCAAATACCTTTTTCATAGACTTCTGAAATTCATGCAAATATTTTAAGGGTTGTTCTCATCTTTGAAATGAAATCTGATTTGATTTCGGTAATGCAACACATTAATAACAAGGGAAGTAATCATGATATATAATATACATATCCGTCTATAACATCATCATTTTTTATAATTAAATATTATTTTCCTATGTTTATGGTTCAGTTTGAATGATTATATATTAATTAATTAAACAAGATCTTTGAAAATGTTTATTTTAACTTTTACAAGCCGATTTCGGTATGGTAACATATATTTCGGTTCGTGACAAATCAGGGAAGTAATCTTGATATATAGGTATTTGTTTCTAATTTCATAATTATTAATTATTCCGAACTGATTTTTTGCATGAATGTCAAACTAAACCTATTGTAATAGATTATAATGAAAAAAATGTAATAGAACGCTTAATTGTGATTTTACAAGTCGATTTCGGTATTGTAACATATATTTCGGTTTGTGACAAATCAGGGAATAATCTTGATATTTAGTTATTTGTTTCTAATATCATTATTAATGATTATTTCGAACTGATTTTTTGCATGAAAGTCAAACTTAACCTATTGTAATATATTATAATGAAAAAAATATACTAAAACGCTTAATTGTGATTTTGTAAGTTGATTTCGGTAATGAAAAGTTGATTTCGGTAACTTTACCGAAATCAACTTGATTTCGGTATCGTAACGTACCGCATATTTCAACATCTATAATAATACGCAAGATAAAAATGTTCGCCGGAAAAAAATCCGCACCCTTACCGTCATAATCACCATGTATTTTATTCCATTTCCATTTCCAATATTTTCACATAATCCTTTGGTCCATCGACACAGAAGATATAATTCTTCACGATGATGGTCAATTTTTAACTTCAACAAGTTAAATAAAAGATATACAAATGCGATAAGTAATTATATTATATTACTGGAGAGTAACTTGAAGATGCATTTGACAATATTAATCAAAGGAAGCTAGATTTTTCTTGTGTTAGTAATAAACAAAATGACAGCATCAAAAATTTGAAATAGAGACCCCTTTCCTACCTCAGAATTTTGATGTAAAAGTTAAATGGCATAAATATTATTACATTGAACAAGTGTGATATTTTAAAATACTCAATCAATTAGTTAGAACAGTAGTCATAAAATTATATGTTTCAGCAGATGATTTCTTTTTAGAAATACAAATATGCTTACATGTGTTTTCATTTTCTAGTTATTATTTCTTTGACAGTAACTGATATACTCAAATTATAGGGTAATTTCAAATAAATAGATGGAATAAACATGGAATAAACATTGTGTTGTTCTTATCTTATTATTCCCCTCCCTTTTATTTATGACTTACTATGAAAGGTTTTTATAATGATCAGGAAAGCATTACATTTTTGAATAACATGTAGATTAATTTTCTAAGAATACATTTCACAACAACTATCAACTTCATCTCAACTCCTGAGAAGTTTTCCTGCTAATTCTAATCTGTGTAAAGTTTATGTATTGTTATTTATTCTTGAAGAATATTCAGCAAAGTTTAGATTCTAATAGATTTTTTTCTTTATGTCATTTTGAAGAGCTGATAGTTGAAATTCAAACCATACTGACATTTTATTAAAAATTATTCTTTGTAATTTATTTCTAGTTACTAGTATTATGCAAAGTTTAAAACATTTCTATTCAACACATTTTGCTATGCTTCAATAAGTAAACCTACTGCAATTTTCTTTAAAGAAGGGGCATAACTGGAAAATATATCATTTAAATTCAATTTATCATTTTGCATAAACAACTTCAGAATGACAGGAGTTGCATAGAATTTCAGCAAATTTTGTACCATGGCAGGGAATAGTCATAAACATGTTTTTGAAATCAAATTATGTGTTTCTTGCTACAGTTTTGAGTTACCTACTCATGAAAATGGCCTAAAATAAGCAGGACAGATAAATCAAATGTAGGACTGTGATCCCCAATTTATTTCTCTTTTATCAATGTTCTATATATACTAGCTATATAGTTTAAATTATCCCTTTTTGCCTTGCAAAAAAATGAAGAAACTATTAAAAACATATTTATAATTCTTTATAAGGGAGCCTGCGTGGTCACACCCCTTTGATATCCTGCTATGGATATTGAATAGTTTTACTAGTATACAGGTGGTATGTGCAAGGTGAATGGTTCTACATTAGTGCCATCTAATGCCTGAAATTATGCCCATCCACAAGTAAAGCTAAAAATTTGCAATGTGATGTTGCAGTTTAGGTGTTGGTGTTATTTAAACCCAAACAAAACCGAGTTCTACAAGTAATGAAGTATTGTAGTGTTCTTGCAGATTATTTCCCCAGTTAAAAAAACTATTTTGCACAGTTGCAGTACCTTAAGCTACTTGCTTCCTAACAGTATATATAACCTGAATTTAGTTCCCTCATTGGTATGGTACATACATGTAGTTTTGGCAATAAACCCATTCATCTTCGTAGGTAATTAAGGATTTAATCAATTATGGTCATTTTACTGATTTATCATATTATTCACCAAAGATTTGGCAATGATTAAAAGATGCTCTCCAATCTGTTTAATTGTACTCTTAAAAATTTCCCAAAGATGCTTTTATTGGTATACAGGGATTTACCGGATGCAGGAACCTGCATACAATTATATCCCAAAAAATGCCTACTTGGAATGCAATCAGTTCTTTACCTCTTGCATTCAATGTTACAGGGTAACTTCTGGCGTATGTTTGTTAATTTAATAGAAATATATAAGAAAAAGCTTAAAAACATAAACACTTATAATACAAGTTAATTAAAAATACATAAAATACAACGATACAACAATTGAGCAATGAAAATTATTTAAGTAAATGAATGAAATGAAAGAATGAAAATCAGTTAATAATAAGATATTTCTTCTCAAAAATTCTATTGATTAAACAAATAGAATTTATTATTTACGAATACAGTTGAATTGTTTTTGACGTATCCGTGAATTTTTACTAATATTTTTAGCGTACGTCACGGAACCATTCGATACAATACAATGGCAGATGAAAACAGTCGCCACGGAAACAAACGACAGTCGACGCATGCGTGGACATTAAGTATAATTTTCCCGCGTCTAATTGGCAAAAAGTGCACGGCAAATTGGACACTTAACGTAACAAATAAATCGATTCGTGACATAGAAAAAAATAGCATCGGCTTCATAAATATTGCTTAACATCATTATAGTATTATGGTTAAGTAAGGAGTCAGACTGCTTGAATTTAATGTTGGACATATTTAATTAATGGTTGGACCACTCGAATTTGTGGCTGAACCCCTATTTTTTTAAATAAATATATATATAAAAAAATAAAAACGTGCATCCACTGGACCCTTATAAATTGAAAGTGATGTAAATCCTTGGTTATATATAAATATTAATCGTTACTCATCGGACATGTGAGAAACATTTAATTTAAGTTTTTTTGGGTGTTATCAAAGTTAAAATTATTGTGTATTTTGTATGAGAGACAGAATGCAATTTGTTTATGTTTTGCTATTTTTAAGCAAATTATTTCACATTCAAAGCTGCAGTTATATCCATGTCTAAGGCTAAATGCGCTTTTAAAAAATAAAAATGGGAGATAATTTATCAGCAAAATCCTTAAAAAAATGTATGAACTTACTTATAAGTTGTGCATTCACAGCATGGTTATATTTTAAAGTTTTGTGCATACTGGCTCAGCGAGGACGGTTGGTTAATTAATAAGTTCCACCTAGTTGTTTCCAAAATTGTATTGATTGTTGATTTATCTCATCGACACAATGAATATTCATATTGATTAAACTATTTAATATTTAGCCAAGCACCACTTTCAAACCAGTGAGATACGTAATGTTTAAGGGCTGGTGAGTAGTCTTCACCTTTTTTTTTTTTAACTTGATTTCCATTATTGGATTACCATTTTGATGCAGTAATTGTTATTATTTCATTCTTAAGCTATTGTTGACATTGTTGTTTATATGACTTACTATGATTATACGTGTTAAAGATCATTAAAGTTAATTTCATGTTTTATGAAGAAAAAAAAACAACCAAAAAAAAACAACAAAAAAACCAAACGATACTGAGTATTTAGTACCTCATAACCCATATATACCTGACCAATATAAAAGACGTCAACTCTTAGAGAAGGGGCCCACATTTTCATAGTACTTAACGGTTTTTTCGTAATTATTGGAAAAAAAACAACAAGAAACAACATACTATTAAACTTTGTTTTGCTTTTAAAAATCATTTAAGGAATTGCACCAACAAAATTTTCTTGAAATACATTTTTGACAAGTTGACCTTTTCGTGAATTAATTTGGGTTTCGGTATTCTCAAAATGAGCTCTTCTCAAAGGAGATGATAACTAACGACGCGATGGAACATTTTTCCAAAATGTAAATAAGGCTTTTAATTTGATTTTTTTTGTGCAAGTAAAGGATTCCGAGATGGAGGAAGAATCGAAAACTAAAACTCTTTTCGAGCAAATGAATGTTGGGGTGCTGAAATATTTAGGTTTGTTCTTTGAATTATTTAAATGGAGCTCAAAACGCCTTTAAAATTCAAATAAAATGCATATTTGTCAATCCCAGCACATGTAGATCTACTGATCATATATATCAAAAAAACTTAATATTAGCCGTTTTGAAAAAATTTCATATTTCAGGGTACGTTACGATACCGAAATCAACTTGATTTCGGTAAAGTTACCGGAATCAACTTTTCATTACCGAAATCAACTCGTAAAAACCAAACTAGTTAAAATATTGCTATTATTTCTTCATTATTTGATGAAAAATAGTGAAATAGACTTTCAGCTAAAAAATCTATTGAAAATATTTTATTTTAATGATGTTATTAACAAAAATGTAATTATTGAGTTACTTCCCTTTGTTCTAAACAACCCGTTATGTGTTTAGCATTACTGAAATCAACTCGTAAAAACCAACTTAGTTAAAATATTGCTATTATTTCTTCATTATTTGATGAAAAATAGTGAAATAGACTTTCAGTTAAAAAATCTATTGAAAATATTTTATTTTAATGATGTTATTAACAAAAATGTAATTATTGAGTTACTTCCCTTTGTTCTAAACAACCCGTTATGTGTTTAGCATTACCGAAATCAACTCGTAAAAACCAACTTAGTTAAAATATTGCTATTATTTCTTCATTATTTGATGCAAAATAGTGAAATAGACTTTCAGCTAAAAAAATCTATTGAAAACATTTTATTTTAATGATGTTATTACCAAAAGTGTAATTATTCAGTTACTAGCCTTTGTTCTAAACAACCCGTTATGTGTTTAGCATTACCGAAATCAGCGGTGAAGTTTAAATTATGTATATAATTAGTAGATAATAGGTTAGATAACTCTAGTAGATCTCTATTTTATAGACATATTTCTGTTTTTAAGTTTCAACCATATCTAAATACTATCAATGTTGAACGGTTTTGTAAAGATCTCACTAGGTTAAGAGTATCATCTTATAGATTGCACATAGACTCAGGTAGATGGACTAAACCAAATAGTACACCTTTAAATGATAGAAAATGTTTTTCATGTAATGTCTTAGAAGACTAATACCATTTCATATTAGAATGCAATGTATATAATGATTTAAGAAAAAGTCTGATACCGCCATATATATCTGCACGTGATTGTCGTGCATAACAATTTTCTAAATAAAATCGTATTTTTAAAAAGCTATGATCAGACTATGATGGAAAAATAAAATACTCTGTAATATGAGTTAAAGATAATTATAAATTTTGTACATGTTTATGTTTTATGAAGAAAAATATCCAACTTCAACCGGAAGTTTATGATTTTCTATTATAAATTTGAATACAGATATATAATTCGACTGCTCTAAAAATGTTCCATAAAAATTGTATAACGTATCAGGCAGTAAAATTGGAAATTGGAAAGTTTGTGTCTTTCATTTATTGAACCGTTCAACTATATATTAACAAATCACTAACATATGTTATGGGGACTCTTTATTATAATATTTTTATATTTTTGTCATTTATTTAAATGTTTAATACGAAATAAACAGATGGTTCATTATAATCTTTTATCTTTAACATACAATATATGTCAACTGTACCTCCTGTCTTAATTACTTCACACCTTACTTAATACAGTAATACACAGCATGTCATATCGTACAAGTTGCAACATTTCATAATTGAAATTTGTCAGTATAAAGTGTTCCATTTTTTTCATCATATAAATATATACCAGTCATTCCATAAATTTATGCTGTTTACAGATATGAAATTTAAAATGATTTTAAATCGATCAACATAAAATCATTACTTAACACTTTTTCAATAAGTAGAATATGTAGTTAAGTATCCGGGACATCAAAAAATTGCATACATTTTTGGAACAACTGATATGCAATTTGGTAGTAATAATATCAAAGCACCTTGTCTCATATACCGAAATGTTTTTTTACGGAAACGTTTTAGCGACCACCCTACAAATTAGTTTTAAAACCGGTCTTTTGACAATTTATTTAATATAAAATTATATTTTTTACCAGCTTACTAGATCTGAAATATGTATAATATAGAACTATAAAAAAAAGTCTTTTGATATATATTATATAGGGATGGCCGCTATACGTCATTTTATATTAAACTGTAATGTATTTTTTTTGTCTTAATGGAGACAAGCAGCTTTAATTTCATGTAAATAATTATTTTGGATACTTTAAAGTTTGCATGCGCCGATGAATATTTAAGGATTGCGGTTAACGAGTATGTTAATTATGTCAACTAACACCTCCATTGTCCGAGCACGTGTATGCTTGCTCCTTATTAGTAAAGGTGTTATGATGAATGGCTACCGCTACGTCTTTTTTATTTTTATCAAATCATAATCATTGGATTTTAAATTAAATACTGTGATAATTTCCAATCAACTATTTTAATAGTGATCTAAATTAGGTGGATAACTTCAAACACAGTTTTGTTTAATCTTGTATTTTGAAATCATTAAGAAATATCAAAGAGATGATACGCTGCAATGTTATCTGACTAAACATTGAAAATAAGCGATATGAATTCAAAGTTTAAAACTCACTCAAATACCTTTTTCATAGACTTCTGAAATTCATGCAAATATTTTAAGGGTTGTTCTCATCTTTGAAATGAAATCTGATTTGATTTCGGTAATGCAACACATTAATAACAAGGGAAGTAATCATGATATATAATATACATATCCGTCTATAACATCATCATTTTTTATAATTAAATATTATTTTCCTATGTTTATGGTTCAGTTTGAATGATTATATATTAATTAATTAAACAAGATCTTTGAAAATGTTTATTTTAACTTTTACAAGCCGATTTCGGTATGGTAACATATATTTCGGTTCGTGACAAATCAGGGAAGTAATCTTGATATATAGGTATTTGTTTCTAATTTCATAATTATTAATTATTCCGAACTGATTTTTTTGCATGAATGTCAAACTAAAACCTATTGTAATAGATTATAATGAAAAAAATGTAATAGAACGCTTAATTGTGATTTTACAAGTCGATTTCGGTATTGTAACATATATTTCGGTTTGTGACAAATCAGGGAATAATCTTGATATTTAGTTATTTGTTTCTAATATCATTATTAATGATTATTTCGAACTGATTTTTTGCATGAAAGTCAAACTTAACCTATTGTAATATATTATAATGAAAAAAATATACTAAAACGCTTAATTGTGATTTTGTAAGTTGATTTCGGTAATGAAAAGTTGATTTCGGTAACTTTACCGAAATCAACTTGATTTCGGTATCGTAACGTACCGCATATTTCAACATCTATAATAATACGCAAGATTAAAATGTTCGCCGGAAAAAAATCCGCACCCTTACCGTCATAATCACCATGTATTTTATTCCATTTCCAATATTTTCACATAATCCTTTGGTCCATCGACACAGAAGATATAATTCTTCACGATGATGGTCAATTTTTAACTTCAACAAGTTAAATAAAAGATATACAAATACGATAAGTAATTATATGGTCTGTTAAACAAATATTTTTCTTATTCTGTCTCCAAATCCTAACGCAACCCTCATTTTTGAACATAGAACAAGAACTGAAAGTGTGTGTTATTATGCAATAAAATCATATTTAGACATATGACGTAATAATTATAAATATGTGACATAACCACTAAAAAATGCGAAGCGCTGAAATAAGTACAGAAACAAATTAGGCGCAATTTTGATTAATATCAGGTACGGCAGCATTTATTTGTTAATGTTGTGTTAGATTCGAAATAATGTATCCAAATCGGTGATTTTATCACTTGATAAAATCACTGTTTGTTGTGTGGATGCGCATCATTGTATCACTTGGGCTACACCCTCATGATATATATTTCCTCGCATCCGAACTCCAAACAGTGATTTTATTAAGCGATAAAATCACAGTTTGGGATATAATATTTTAAAGAAAATTGTACCAAATATATGCATTAAATATCCAAACCACACACAACTTCAATCAAAATCAATTAAAAAATGTTTAACATAAAGTTCGGTAAATTGTCACTAAAGTTGGCGAATTGTCACTTAAGTGGTGCATGTCATTATGGGGTGAATTGTCAGTGGGGGGAATTGTTGTGTTACCTTTTATCAGATGCAACAGTTAAGTTTTAGATTAAACACATTAAACTTTATTTTAAATACGCAAATATTCTTCTCACAATTATCCACTGTTGGCTATGATTCGTTAACATAATCATTTTCAAGCTGCTAGTTTGATACACTATTTTTTGATTATTTTCATATAATCCAAAGGTTCATTGTGAAGAAATTCGGCAGATTAATTAAATTTAGTGTGATGTTTAAACCAGGGCTCATCTGGAAGGGCGATTCAGGCGAAACTTCGCCGTGTATATTCCCATTTCGCTCTCCCAATTGATCAAAGAGAAGTCAACATCGCCGATAAAATCTTACTTCCCAAAGAGTAATTACTTGGCGATGTAAAGAGCAGAGATTGTATCCGCCCATATGACGACTTCTAATTATCATTATCCAATCAGAGCGTCGCTTTATACTACCCTTCTACCTGTATGCAAAGCGTTTGACCGCCTACTCTAAACAGTAAATAATGAGAGCATCGACCCGAAACAGGTATAACTGTGTGACAGTTTTGCGAGTTTAATAAGGGATTTGGCGATAATTATCCAGATCATCTAAACACGTGCAAATCTTCCCTAATTGATATACACGCGGTGTTTAACCTGAGTAAAGGCGATGTGCAATGGGTTTTTCACGGTTATCACAAAACTGTTAGTCAATTAAATTAATCAATTTTATTAATGATCAGCGACCTGATTAAAAACTTAATCATAGTTTTGAATGATTTCAGTCCGTTAACATCATTTAAAAATTGTTATGTCGCTCACGTCATGGCTACAGGGCGATAATGCCCAAACCTAGCAGTAAAAGAAAGTTACTGATTCTGATACACCTACGCGAAAATTTAAGAAAGCCAATTCGCAGAAATCTTACGATTGGTACTGTATGTTATAGACAGTGTGAGTGTTTGGCATTGTTATCTTTGTAGAAATGCCAAATTTGACACAGCTTACGCACGTGGGCATGACATCCCGGAAAAAAAACTACGAATCATGATCGGCATGCTACATATCGGTCGTATATCATGTATAAAAATTTGTCACGAAAGAAGTGTTCTTTTTGTTTCAATATATATATTTGTTTTTAATGTCATAAATATGACGCTCAGTTTAAGATTTATCAATATTGAAAATTTCAAAAAGCATTATTTATAACGATATTACAGTTTAACATTTCATGAAAATAAAGGGAGGTTATTAGAAATTTATTTTCTATAATTTCTCAGTCAAATTTTTCAATAAGAAATGAATGTATATGATTTTAGTGATCAAATATAATGTGCACAAATGTTTGCAGTACATATTTTACATATTCTTCAATGTTTGAAAATTGTTTTATAAGCATAATTAATTATATGCACATAAATGTGACAATCGTAGAAGAAAGTTAAGTAGGTAGGTTTGATCCTCACTCGGGTCGAAATCTTTCATGTGAGGAAGCCATCCAGCTGGCTTACGGAAGGTCGGTGGTTCTACTCAGGTGCCCGCTCGTGCCTGAAATAATGCCAAGAGGGGCACCTGGGGTCTTCCTCCACCAATAAAGCTGAAAAAAAATCGACGAAAAATCTCGGCGGGACGCTCTAGGATGGCCCGACTTGAGTGTACGGTCGCCCATATGGGCTTTACGGCGGCGACCTTAAATAAACGCATTTAAAAAAAAAAGAAAAAAAAAAAGTTAAGTAATCAGAACAGCTAGGATAGACAGATTTTATTAATCAATATCCAATGTAACTTTATCCTCTATTAAATGTGAAGAAAGTAAAAATATAATTTATTCATCATATTTTTTCTTACACATTTAATATTATCAATAAATCTACATGAAAATATATAAACAAATATTTAGAGAAAGCTTATAAATAGCTGATAAATAGATTAATTGTGTTTATATTATAGTTAAAGGATGTATTAGCCATGCATGTTAACGCATACACATTGGGTTGTTTCCCTTCTCCCTATTTTTCGCGAGGAAGTCACTTCTCCCTAAAATTTCCCCCCAGGATGAGCCCTGGTTTAAACAAAACAATTGTTTTTGTTTTTTTATGAACAAACATCTGGCAAGACATTTATTTAACAGAAATGATGTTGTCTTTAATTGTTGAATTTTTAATATTTTCAGATTATGTGATAAAAAAATTTTTTAGACAACCAAAAAATGTATTTTATGGTGAATGCAGAATGCATATTTTTTAGAAATACATGACTTTGATTTCTAACAATTGATACCCTAGTTTTTTTCTTCAGAGAACAAAAGAGGAGTTTGTAAACTTGAATTGGAGCCAAGGAGACCTGCAGAAAGACCAAATATACTAGCATGGGAACAGGTAAGTGCGTTAAATTTTATTAACTATTGAACCCCCAACCTTCCCCAATAAAAACAAAAAGCAACAACAACAAAAATGAATCAATAAAACTAAATTAATATAACATCAACTAGGACAGCCAAGTACACATATGAGGGGAGTACACACATGTGAGAAAGTCTAGTACTTTAACTTTTGTAAAGCTATTCCAGCTCGGTAAGGGAATCGATTCATTGGCACAGCGGTTTAGAGCACATGTTGATTTATTTGAAATATAGAAGATATCATTCAAATGTTTGTTTATGTTATGAAAATCAAACTTATTTCATTTTACAGAAAAATACAGTTTTTTTGCCAGAGGATTTGAAGAGTTTCTTCATGACATCTGATGGATTTCAGTTAACATGGTGTGTTAAAATTGAAAGTAAGTAAATATGTTAAGCATGTTTATTACTATCATTATGGTTTGTGTTAATGTATGAATATTTTTCACCATTCAACATTAAATATACAAGCTCTTAATTTATAGCTCGATTAAATACAAACAGAAGTTTTTGCATATTTAAGTATCCAAAATGTTTTTTTTTTCATTGGATTTGTGAAATAATATATTAAGATATTAGTAGAGAAAATTAATGTATGTTAATTTTATTTATTCTTGCACAGCTTAATTTTTACAGTGGACTTACCCTACCCCAAATTTGCAACTAACTAAGATTTAGCAGCTGCCAATATAACCTCTGGTCAGGCTCAGTGTTTATGCTAACTATCCTGACTTTATACTTTCTTTTCATTTAAATTTTTAAATTATTTTCCTCTATCTTGTATGATTTCTTGTGGATATTATTTCAGAATGATCCATTGCTGCCATTATGTCTAGCTATTATGATCACTGTGTCATTGTTGTCATGCCAACACTTTGACGTTGTTAGACAAGGGGCATAATTCTGAAAGCTATATTTTTGAAGTTATAGGGATTGCCACTTTTAATCTAAGAATTTTTGTCAAAATGGATTAATGATTTTCATTGCCCTTGACAGACAAGGGTATCATTGCCCTTAATGGACATGGGTGAATACTGCATGCAGTGTTCTTGATATTAAAAATGATTTGTACACCAAATGTTTAAGATATTATTCCGTCATTTTTAACAAACCTAGAGAACATATTGCCATATCTAAGGAGGGGACAAACTGTTGTTCCATTGTGCAAGAAACTTGACACTCATTGCTCAGTACTGGTTGGTTCTAAAAATAGATTCAAGGGTGTGGTTGTAAGATCATAGCTGCCCATACCATCAAACTAAAATAACTTCTGTATAAACTAAATGATAAGCATTATTTACTTTGTTACATCAGATGGGCCTATACCTGTTGGAAAGATGTATCTGAACAGTATTAGCAAGATGCTCAAGTTTGGTGGTTCCACAAATAACACTCTAGTCAATCCAAGTCTAGCTGACCTAGATGCAGACTCCGATAATGAAGATGAAACTTCAGGTAAGTTGCTTCATCAATAAGTAGCACTCCTTCTGATTCATCTTTACAACCACCAAAAGTATTCTCTAAAAACTTTACATAATTATGTCTAAGGAGCTAAATGTCAGGTCATTGTCCAGGAGGACTTTATTCACTTAAAATAGGCGTGTCAGGGTTAGCAGAAATGCTAACTGTTTAAATAGCGATTTAGTAACTGTTAAACATTTAACCAGTGGTACTAAAAGAACTCTTAGATTTTTAACAATAATTTTGTTTCTTTATGAAAAGATACATGTATAACATTTAGTACGTATTTTGTTGTACTTGACAAGATTACAAAAGATATCTAATTAAAGAGTAAGTATTTTCCTCTATGGCCGTATTGTACAAATAAGATAGCATGCAATTAAGAATTGATATTTGGATGTTTTTGATTAGTTCTAATTATTGATAATATTATTTTTGTACATTTCTGACAAACATCGTTGAGCATGCATAAATTATTGCAAAACCTTGTATAGAAATTGGTAGAATATTTAGATAGAAAAATTGTTATTATTATTTTCTTGTATTTGTTAAACATGGACACCTTTTTGTAAAAACTCTTTTCTGATATGACCATAAGACCTTGAAAACATAGTGATTATACTGTTTTGATTTTTTTGTAGTGTCTGTTTTGCTAGCTAAAAATGTTACACCCTTTGACATTGTTACAGTCAGAACAGAGCAGAACATATCTTTATTAACTCAAGTTACATAAGGAACACATGAGTATATATAAAAACAGTGGTATACCTAGTTGTGATAAATCTTTGTTTGTATATACAGCTATAGCATATTCCGTTTATATTATTGACTAATGCATCAATTACTTGTTTGTAGGGACAGAAAAACCAACATTTGATTGTCGATGTAAGATATTTGAGTTAGATCCCTGTGACGGTTATGGAAAAGTCTGTCTTGTGTATAAAGAAAATAAAACAGGTAAATGGTTATTACGGTTATTACTTTATATATGTTTCACTAGAGGTACAAATGTATTTACAATTTAAGCACCAATTGTATTTTTTTTTCAGATTATATATTTTAGTCATTTAAGATCATGTTGTGAAATTGTAACATAGAAAGGGGTATTAAAAGTAACTAGGTTTACTAAGACATATTTCAATACATATTATTTTCAATTTTTTGCCGAATTCATATAAAAATTCTGAATCAGTAAGTGGATAGTCTTTGTTGCTTTACTTGACCATTGGATGTTTAATAAAAAAATGTTGTTTTTAGCTCGTCTATTCAATAAGAATAAGTAGAGCTATTGTAGTCACCCGAGCGTCGGCGTCCGCGTCGGCGTAACCACTTATGTTAAAGTTTTTGTAATAGTTCAAATATTTTCAAAGTCCATTGACATATGGCTTTTAAACTTTGCACACTTGTTCACCATCATGACCCCAACCTGTAGACAGGAGGAGGTAACTCTATCAAGCATTTTGACAGAATTATGCCCCTTTTTCAACTTAGAATTAATGTTAAAGTTTTTGTAATACCTCAAATATTTTCAAAGTCCATTGACATATGGCTTTGAAACTTTGCACACTTGTTCACCATCATGACCCCAACCTGTAGACAGGAGGAGGTAACTGTATCAAGCATTTTGACAGAATTATGCCCCTTTTTCGACTTAGAATTTACGTTAAAGTTTTTGTAATAGTTCAAATATTTTCAAAGTCCATTGACATATGGCTTTGAAACTTTGCACACTTGTTCACCATCATGACCCCAACCTGTAGACAGGAGGAGGTAACTGTATCAAGCATTTTGACAGAATTATGCCCCTTTTTCAACTTAGAATTAACGTTAAAGTTTTTGTAATACCTCAAATATTTTCAAAGTCCATTGACATATGGCTTTGAAACTTTGCACACTTGTTCACCATCATGACCCCAACCTGTAGACAGGAGGAGGTAACTGTATCAAGCATTTTGACAGAATTATGCCCCTTTTTCGACTTAGAATTTACGTTAAAGTTTTTGTAATAGTTCAAATATTTTCAAAGTCCATTGACATATGGCTTTGAAATTTTGCACACTTGTTCACCATCATGACACCAACCTGTAAACAGGAGTAGGTAACTGTATCAAGCATTATTGTTTACTATCAAGCACTAGAATAGTCGAGCGTTGCTGTCCTACCGACAGCTCTTGTTTATCAATTCAATAGAAAACCTTTCTGTGTCCATCTGCTTAACTGTCTATTCATGATGACTTTACTTAGAGTAACAAAAGTTTTTTATTATTTTTTAAAGGCTCTATTCTTGTGTTATTTTGAATGTTCCAGCCTTGTTTTTTTCTTGTGTATATAAGCTATATCTAAATTATTGTTTACTTTTGTATAATGTTTTGTTATAAAATTATACATAGGTCAATTGCAAGAGACTTTTAGAATTTTAAATAGTGAAAATTCATGTGAAAAAAGTAAAGCAATAGAAAAACAACCAAGTAGGGAACATATGATTCTTTTTATAATTCATTGTGCGTACTTTAATTGCAAGGAGTTATTTTATTTTATATGTCTGTAATATATTATGACAATTCATATCAAACTATTGGAAATATTAGCATTTATTAATGTTAGATGAATATGTTGTTTAGTTGTGTGTTTCTATTAAATTTATTGTCTTCATTTTAACAATACTTTATACATTATATGACACAACATACTTTGTTTTGTTTAACAGGGATATTCTTATGTATGCAATAGATTGAGGCACTGACATATAAGATATTTTTATGATACAATCTTTTTTGTTTCTAACTATTGTTTGATTTTGATACATTTTACTGTTGTAGAACCAGAATATAAAAAGTCAGCTGACATAGTCTCAAAAGTGTATACCTCCGATTACATGAATTATGGTAACATGTTTAAGTTCATGCGCTTCATATGCAGACAGTTTTCTTTTATAATTACAGTTATTTTCACCCCCACCCCAAACCGTTTTCATTAGCTATACTCCTTTTGCATGTTTCAGACAAACATTAATGTATTTCTATATCATATACACACAGATTTCACCCAGAAAATGTATGTCTTTATACATTGTATCTTTATTAGTGAAAACGATTCTTATTCTTTCTATACTTACTAAACAACACAATTCAGTGACATATTTTAAGAAAGCTTTGTATATTTGGCATTCATTTTATTTTGACTTGTGCATTTGTAAGAAAAAACATATATATTGGCTTGTATCCTTCAGGAGTTGTTTACAAGAACATAAACAATAGAACATTTTAAATGCCACAGTATGACAGGGTTGTCCAAATATAATTTCAGTGGCTAACAAACACTGCGATATTAACCTAAATTAACTTGAGACTTATTTAGCAGCATACAAAGCGCACGCTATATTTAGCATACTATTATAATTTATTTTGCCAGGTAAATATATATATATGCTATTTGAAACTTACTTATTAAACCTGTTGCTTCTGAAATGGATCTGTCCTCATTGGAGTTTTGAACATTCCATTATTATTTGAAGGGGTTTCAATATCAAAATAATACAATCATCATCCAAACAGTATATAGCAGAATGTACAGATATGCAGACTTGTGTTTCTCTATACTTGTAGCATAGACAACTGATGTCATTATAGCAGTTAGTTTGTTCGTTTGTTTGTTTGACTGGGTTTAACGTCACATCGACACAGTGTAGGTCATATGGCAACGTTCCAGCTTTAATGGTGGAGGAAGACCTCAGGTGCCCTTCTGTGCATTATTTCAGACACGAACGGGCACCTGAGTAGAACCACTGATGTTCCATAAGCTAGCTGGATAGCTTCCTCACATGAAAGAATCCGAAGTCCGTGTTGGGATTCGAACCCACAGGGATGAGCGGCAAGTAGTTTGTAGTCAATGACTAACAGTTAGTAATCAAAGCATTTAACATAACATAATGTAGAGAAAATACCATTTTATTTCCGTCTGTGCCATATTAGATTTGTATCCTGTCACCATTACAAAATATAACCTGACACCATCATATTTTTTTTAGATTTATATAATATAAAATATAATTACCATATTCATATATGCAGACACACCCTTTCTTGCTGCTGTTTACATATTTACATGTTTACATATTTAAAATAAGTTATTATTTGGATTTAAAGAGATTTATGTGTTGTTTTAATATATGCATAATTTTTATGCTTTGAAGCTTTTTATTGATATTTATTAAGAATTGGTGTATAGATTTATTATATACAGGTGAAAGCTTTTTTTGCAAAGAAGTGTGTTTGAATTTGCTATGTGGTATGCCAGTTAGTTACTACTGTATAGGTATGGTGTGTTGTTTGTGCTTTTATTGCACATCCATTGAGTTATCATGACAGTAAAAGCTTCAAGTTGAAATATGCAATATTAGCTGTTAATTTCATTATGTAAAGTTAAATGGTTTTAGAAAGAGTTTGCAGGTAAAATGTGCATTGTTGGTTTATTGAGTCAGATATTTAGTATAATTTATATATATGGAAATGAGATGTATTCTATATTGCATGTCAGAATGATATATTCTTTAATATTTCAGGTGTATGAAATGATATATGTCCAATGTTTCTATATGTCTTAAATGAAATATCTGTAGTTCATGAAAGATATCATATACAGTATGTTATATGTATAATGAAATATTATACAGTTTGTGCATATGTTTTCTTGTACTTAATGTGTTTTTCGATATACAATTTGGCAAAATTAAATTATTGAAAAGAGATAATTGAAAATTAAATGCTAATTCAAGTGTAAATTCTAGAAATATGTATTGTTTGGCATTATTATTGAGAATTATTTTAACAGAATTCCCTAAATGAGGACAACTAACGTATAGCATTTTTATTTGTAAAACAAGAGTTTCTTCCCTTTAACATGTTTTATATTTTGATATTTTATTGTTCAGCATTGAATGGCAAGCTTGTTGTCATGATATCATGATTGTATGGGATATCATGTCAATGTGTCATGACGTAGGAATAATCTTAGTGAAGTCATTCTGTAAATTAGGACATTCTGTTCACCACTACAGTTATAACCCTGTTGCCTTGTCATTATTAATTTATACAAATTTTTTTTTAGTTTGATTGTGTTGCAAGCTATAAGCTTATTGAAACACTCTCGAATCTGTTCCTGGAACCAACCAGTACTAATCAATGAATATAAAGTTTCTTGCTCAAGGAAACAACAGCTTGCCCCTGACATGGTTTGAACCCACATGGTCAGCAATCCTGAGATCACTAGTCTGACGCGTTAACCACTCGGCCACACCGCCACTCAATTGAGGGATATGTTAGAATTCTAAGCACAATTCCTTTTAACAACAACCTGGAACATTGCAGTTGCATAAATATATCAAATATCAAAGTGATAAAATATCCACTATAATTTTCAATCGCAAAATGCGCTTGTGAAAATATTGCATTTTTCTCACTTCTCAGTATGATATACAGCATATTCAATCAGAACAAACAAATATCCTCTATATATTAAAAAGAAGTTTTTCCTTGGAATATTAAGCACAATAGGTCATTTTGATAATTCAACATCACATATTTTTCTTACAGAAATTCTAGCTAGTTCTCTATGTATCAAAGAACTTTTTGCCTGTGATGAATTATATATTGTGATCCATCCTGATACAGTTTAATATTATATTTATTGATTTTTCAGCCATTCTTTACCTAATTCACAGTATGAACTCACAATTTTATCCTAAAGAAGTAAATCAAGCTTTATATTAATTCACCCAAGAATTCATTTAAGTTTGAACCTTCTCTTACTTTAAGAGATTTTAAATGAAGATGTATATAAAATTTTGATTTAACTTTTATGCCTTATTTGAATGATTTTGCAGGGGTAGGGGAGAGTCTCATTCAGTATTTGTTGTTTTTACTTATTTTATATGATTTCTAAATTTTCATTTTGGTGCAGAAATTTGTAAAAGGTTTATTCAAAGTTCATACTAAGCATCCTTTAATGTTTCATATCTACACAATTATATTTCGGTGTGTCCAAGGGAAATGTCATGCATATTATCTGTTTTAAAGTAGCCTTCTGGCAGTTGTAAAAGACAATATTTTATTGAAATTTAATTATGTGCATAAATTATTTCCCCATTTAAGATTAAGGAATAATCAGTTTAAGCTGCAAATAAAATACCTTTTGAGTTATGGATTAAAAGCATGAGTCAGTAAGGTTAGCAACAGTTAGTACCATTATCATGGGTAAATAATTAAAGAGGAGAATTCACAATAAAAGAAGTAAGATGATGTTGGATGAAGTTATTGTCATTTACAAGTAAATAAGATGTTTTTGATAGAGGAGAGAGTCTAAATTAAAGATTCAATTGTAGGAATAAAAATAAATTCAACTTATTCATTATATCACAGGTGGTACAGATCCAAAAATAGAAGTGTGGTTCCTGGACCGAGCCTTGCGCTGGCACTACATTGCCGAGTCATTCACAGCGTACTACCGGCTAATGATCATGCACCTTGGACTGCCACAGTGGCAATATGCTTTCACAGATATTGGACTCTGTCAACAAGCAAAGGTATCCTTATTTTGTATAGATCTAATAAATAAACAAAATCTTTTCTGTTCTATTCCTTATTACTTGTGTATCCAAACTAATTTATAATTTTAATTCCAAAACAATATGTTAATCTACAATTCTGACACTAGGATTTTAGCTTTTAATTACGGCTGTCATTGAATATTGCAATATCAATAGATTATCGATATTCATGATCTTATACAATATCGATACACACTTTAAAATATCGATACAAGCTAAAATTTATTTATTTCTGTTCTCAGAGTATTCCTAATAAGAGAAGTCAATTTTTTCCATTTTCTTGGCTAACTTGAACTTTAAACTCCGTTTTCAAATGTCAGTTCTGTTAGTTTGTATTAATTGTAATGTCTAATATAAGCATGCATAACACAATGATCCTATTATATAACACATATTTATATGTTTTTCATTGTATCTACTGTCAAAGTCATTATATCGATATATTGTTTATATAAGATTGTCTCTTTTGATATATCAATACAAAATTTTCCATCAATGACAGCTCTACTTTTAATTTATTACCAACTGGTTCAAGACCTTATACATTTTATAGCTTAGTTTTTTTATATTTTGTAATCCTTTATATATGTTTTAATGTTTGCTTGTCTCTCAACCTTTTCTCTATCAATAATCTTGTTATGTATCCAATTTAGAGCTGTCCACTGTCAATTAAGGAATGTCATTTGTAAAGATACAAAACATTGAACTGTCATTAGTGCGAGGTTGTGTTAGATTACAAGTAGATATAGGTTAATTTGGTTCTCAATAGTATAAAGCCTAATATCAAATCTTACTGTTGTTGCCCCCAACTGATGCTATGTTTTAACTAAGACATTTTATTTCTAAACATTCAGCAATGGTTTAATATGTATGCTCCACTCCGCCTCGAACTTGATGCAGAGATTGGCATGCCAGGTATTTCAAGATCAGAATCAAGCACCTCAACAACACAGATTGATGTAGGGAAAGTTTTCAAAGGAAAATCAGATAAAAAGTGAGTAACGTTGATATGATCCAACTTATTTTTGTTTCACTGGCTGTGCTGAAAGCATGCAAGTCTACTTATACTATTCAGTATTGTAGATATGAAATAAGCAAAGTTAATCAGTACAATGATGGTCCTTTCCTCTCTGGCTTCATGTAGTAAAAGGCAGATACTTTATCTACTGTGTATTTGTTACAGAATTGTAAAGGTTACTGACTTTAATCACATATAATATTCTCAATGATGTTGCTTCAAATTGCACCATGATATTAAATTTTTTATGTGAGGGAGCTGTGTAGCTAGCATTGTAAATGTCAGTACTGCTATTTAGATACTTACCTGTGTTTGAAGTTATGCTTGACAGATGAACTTCTTTTATTCTTACTCAAGCAGAAAATTTAAGATATGTCATTTAACTGTATCAGTGTGACTTGAAATGCAAAAAAAATAAAGAAAAGAAAGCGCCATTCTTGTAACAGCTGTAAATTAATTTGTACAATATGTCAGACAGAGCTGGTTACAAATTGACACGTTGTTATTTAACAGACGACATTCAGTATTAGATCTGTTCCTCTAGTGAACCATAAAAATGTCTGTGAACATTCTGATGTCAAGCATTAGAAAAGTTCATGCAGTAAAAAAGCATGGGATAATGCAGGTTTTAGAAAAAAAGAAATATCACAGGAGTTTAAAACTGTGACAAAAGTTGTAAGGTTCATATTGCCATAGAAACATGATTAAATAAGGGAGATTAGAGAAAAATGTTCAGGGGATTAAGACTACCACCTAAAATTGGTTATAAAATTATAGTAAGTTTAGATGTGTAGATATAGGGCAGGATAGGATTGGTTGGTGTATGCATTATGATGCATGAGGGAATATTAGGGAATTTTCTAACACAATTAGAAACTGTCAGTTTTATGTTCATAAATTCTGAAAAATATTGTCTTAACAGCTAATATTGTCAAATTATGTTTGTGTTTTCAACTTTAATTTACTTCCTCTGAACAATTGTTTAGAACATCTATGTGTGTATGGTACTTGTACATCAGTTTCTGTTTGATTAAAAACTTACTATTCTAGTTTTTGGAAAATTTTCTTAATTCAGAAGAAAATCCCATTATGAAATACATCCTCCATTGTCTATAGTTTTATTTGGCAGATTATTTCATAACTTGGGGGAGAATTAATTACAGGAAGAATTGTATAAATTTTATTCACTCTGCCGCAAGTAACAATTAGTGTCTTTGCAAATTACGTCCTTGTGATATAGGCTAATATAAATATAGGTTAAGGTAAATATGTACTTGGTCTAATTTTGGTCAACTTAAGGTTTAAAAACACTTGTTACCTACAATCTTATAAAATTACCTTGTATATTACTGACTAGACAATGATAAAGACTTTATACAGGAAAAAACACATTTAAGTCTTGTTGAAACAACAATGCCTAAAATTTAGAAATTGGGCAGTGGGTCTCTACAAAACTTAAAAAAAATTTGCCTTTCTTGGAGTCACATAATTTATGTAGACTTAATTATATTAAACATATTGTGAAAATTTTATACTTCTACACTACAAAACAATGGCACATAGCATAAATTTGTAGTCTTCTACAAAAGTTATATTAATCATGATCAAGAAGTAAAAATTGCCCTGCCTTTGCATTAAATTCCTTTATGTAGAATAATGTTTAGGAAAAACTATCTAATTTTTTGCTTTGAAAACTACAATGCCCAGAACATAAATATTTAGCATGTAGCATGGCCTATTTTAGAGCTCTAGAAGTTTTATGAATCATGCACCTCGGGTCAAAAATGCCTTCACCTTGGGGGACATAATATTATAGTATCATAAAGATAATTAAGATGAAACATTTTTCAGACACGTTTCATGAATAGGTCTCTTCTCTAATTGAAAGATTATTTTGATTTCTCAAAATTTTATTATTATGCGATGCTGTTGTTTCTTTTTTTAACTATGATTGATATGTTATATTCAACAAAAAATATTGAAGCATTGGCTGCATACCATACAGATAGAATTATCAAATTCCTTCATACCTTTATGATTGTAAAATACTGTATTAGAATTATAATTTTGTATTAAGGATATTGAGGTTTATTTAAGTTACCTTCAGTAAATAAAGTATATTTATTTTATTTATAATTATACTATTGTTCAGTGAAAAATCTGGAGAATCTTGTCAGTTGTTTTATCATGGAAGTAATTGTCCTATTGATTATTATTTTACAAAAAAAACCCAATAGAAACAGTGTGTCACACATAAATCTTTTTGAATTTCAGTTCATAACTGGTTTTGTCAAGCCTGATTTAATATTCTTTAGAAATAATTAAAAATCTCATTGAAACAAAAAAGAAGAGATGAAAGCTCTCATTCCTGTGTATTAATGTCTCTAGTTACTTCAGGAGACCGTTGTCAGAAACAGGATAACTAATTTCACAGTAATTTCAATTTTTCTTTTACAAATGATTTTTCTAAATAATGTAAATTTGTCTCATTTGTAGAAAAAAAACATAGAATTCATAATTTATTCAGCTTTTTTTCTCACCTTTACACTTAATTCACAGTATATTGTATTTAAATACTGTGAATTCACTTAATTTTGCAAGCAAGATATTTCCCGTTTTTGTCAAAAAGGGCATTTTTGTAGTTTCATAAATTTGTCAATTGTCAGTTTTTGCAAAAAAAGCAAAATGCAAATAGTGTTATGCAAAATAATCTTACTGCAGATGAAATAAGATTAAAAAAATTATTGGACCTTAAATTTGCAGATTGACTTATACATGAAAACCAGGAAAATCAGTGTCTCACTGATAATCAATGCAATATCACAATGCAACCTTGTGTTTTATGTTTGATAGCTTTGATAGGTAGTTTTACATGATGTAGTCCCTTTTTATTCAAATTGGCTTCAGAAGCAAACTAATTTTTTTTTAGCTTTTTCTTTTCAAAGTACTATAATAGCTTTTATTTGGAAATGAATTGCCCTTATACATGGACACAACAGTCTTTAATGATGGACCTTTAAATTGATGAGACTTACAATGATCTTGAATCATAAATGGCCTATACTTTCAAGGTTTCGTTATTGGTTTTTGTAAAACAAATTTTTGACTTGCTATTCCTTTATAATTATACATCCTGTCACATCTCAGGAACCAGTAGATTTATTAACTTGAAATTGAAATATCAATGCAATATCACAATGCAACTGTGTGTTTTAGATTTGATAATTCTGATGGTATGCAGATGAAACATCATAAAATATAGGTTGAGTTCAAATTAAGCTTTAGACAACTTACTTTTCAAATAGTTAAGGTGGCAGGTGGCAAATAATTAAGGTGGCAGGTGGGGTTATGAATTACCTTTATTGATAGTTCAGGTGTATTTTTAAGGACCATTTGCTATTGCTGATGGTAAAACCAATTTTGTCTCAATAGCTTTACATTTGCTGGTTTTAATTTTGATTTCAGATAGAAATTATGCTTTAGAAAGGTCATTGACAATTTGATATTTTCAGTATTAGACATACAGTTTTATAGTTGTTGATAATATGAAATTTTCAACCACATGTATTTGACTTACAGCAGTCAATGGCCTTCAAGTCAATGTTAATAATCAGCAACAGAGGTAGCATTATTTCTATTTTTATCTAGTTCTACAGTAATTAAGTTTGGATATCATATTCAAAGGTAAATGTAGTGCACACATGCAATATTCCATGTTAATACATTACATATTTACATATAATGTCACAGGATATATATGGTTTGACTTTGAAAATATTTCAGGTATCAAATATGCACCATTGTTATCTTTGTACATTAAAAGAATATTGAAGTTGTTTGTTATAACAAAATAAAAGCTACTGTAGATGTGATATTTGAACATCTTACTGTCACTTTTATCCTTGTTTTCTATAAAAAAAATCCCCAAACATGCAATCGTTCTTTAAGATTATAATATAATCACTTATTCATTACCAGAAATGTGATTAAAATAGCATGTATTTAAATATATACGTATTGCAGTGTCCAAATGTCTTTGATATTTTAATCGTTTATTCTTGTCATTTCTTGATAGAGAAAACTTAAAAGCATTTTGCAAAAGTTGTCTGTAACTCAAACCACTTACTTCAGTTAGTAATTATGTCTGGACCTTCTAGCATCTTCTCTTAAAGTATTTGTTCAAGTCATGTCCTCTATTTGAACCATTGGCCATATAAATTATATATTTTTCCCATAAGTATAGAGATACAAAATGTATGTGGATTTACTTGTAAGGCTTGTATTTTATGAATCTTTGAGTAGGTTTATTACATAATCCAGTGCTAGGTGATATTCTATAAGAAACTGATGAACAAATAGGATGTAAGGTTACAGCAAAAGCTTGTATCAAGTATATAATTATTATTGATAATGTTTCATTTCAGAAAAACTTATCCATTTATCATGCAAACATTGCAAAAAATTATTATTTATTTGTTATTTATTTCAGTGTCTTCAACATGAGAACTTACAATGAACTGATTAAATTCATCATACATCCTATGCTTTCATCCATATCTTTGGAACATATCTTGTTTCCAAATTATTCATAGTAATTTACTGAATGATTTTTATTTCAGAAAACCTGTTCCTGCCCAGACACAGTCTCAGCAATCGCAAAGTCTCCGGAAGAAACCAACAGTAGCCTCAGCAAAGTTTGTACCTTATGCATCTATATTTGTTTATCATATTACAATATACAGTTGTGCATCTTAACACTAAAGCAATGATGGCCATGTGTCTGTTAAGTATAGTCATTACTTGTATTCATACCAAACATGTTTTCTGAAAATGAAATATCTGGTTCATGTAGATGTTACTAGGATACAAGGCAGTTTAACAAACTTACCAAGATTAGTCTGCTAGTTTAATATATCACAGGGAAAATAAACTAATATAAGCTTACTAGATAAAGTAGCTTTATACTGTCTACTTGTCATTCTTAGTGTAGGCAAATAGAGGATTCTTGCCTTCACAAAGTAATTTTACGATATGTGCTGGAAGTAAAATGTCAGAAAATCTGTTTTTATGTTTAAATGTGTTCTCAAAAAAGACGTCATTAAAGACACTACTGGTCAAGGTCATTGGGTATAAGTTGTAAACATTTCAGATTCAGAAATTTATCGAATTTCAGTTTTTGTTTAGTAATAGTTGCCCTACTCATACTGGTTGATTTGTTTTTGTTATTTATACTAACTCCGTTTTGATATCTTGTTTATATTTCATGCTGTACTTTTTTCTAGGGTTGGCCAACAACCAGGGTTAAAGACGAGTAGTTCAGCATCGCAGTTAGCTGGCAAGAAATGAAACATTTTGTAGCTGTTGGAAGAGTTTGCAACCATACACATGTATCGTCAGTAATGCCTCAGGGCTTTACTCGTCAGTTAAAAGGCAAGAGAGTTATACTTTACACTAACATGATGCCATGATACAAAATATATCCGTGTGAAATTCTTCATCTAATATCGGAAAACGCTGTTCAATATTTTATAAGGTTTTCTAATAAATTAACTTATGTTTACTTTGTTTCTTAAATAACAATTTTAAGTATTTTCAAGAAATTGATGTATAAAAATTTACATGTCATACCTTAAAATGAATTAGCTACATGTTTATTTTGCGTGTATAATTTACAATCCTGTATATTTATGTAGTTTTTTACATATAATCACGGATTTCTATTTTAAGATGTTCATAAAATAGTTTTTAACTTTCTTATAGTGATATAAGATAACCTTGCATGAGGGATTAAAATTTAACATCATGTGGTTTTCTTTGTAAATAAGATGTCTTTGCAGGGAATTAAGGTTGCTGATTTCAAAATTCATTAAGTGCATAATGACTAAACAACATTAATCCTAAACAACAACAATCCGTAGATGTATTTTGATTTGTCTTATAAATTAGTTGAATTTCTAGAGGAAACGTGATCAGTAGAGGTGTAATATGTAATATTGTAAAATAAATTCTTGAAAAAGTATGACCCCTTGGAAGCATTAATCATAAGAAAATAACAAGAAAATTGCAGACTTAGTTTGATTGGGTCTGCACAGGAGGATAATAAAAAAAATGCAACATCCCTATTTAGTTTTTGTTAAAATGGAATATTTGCCTTGTAAATGATAATTATATTTAAAAGTGAATGTCCATGAGTATGCAATTTTCAGTAATTATGTTACTTTGAAACGATTTTATTTATGTTGAGATATGCTTTAATTTGAATTGCATGTTATATGTACATTATGAATATAAAATAATACCGTTGTATGAGAAATTACATTTAGAAGTAATACACTCTACGGTATATATATTAAAGATATATTATGATTTTAGAATATTTTTAAATGTTCTGCCTGTGATAATGTATTTTTTTAATTTATTCACTATTTTTAATAAAATGTGCATAAAATTTTGTAAATCATCTTGTTTGTTAATTATTTTAGTACAAACTTTATCCTTTGTAAATAACGATAAAGGGAAGGAAATTAGAAGCAAAATACCCCAATATAATCACATAAATATTACATTGTGAACGAGAGTTACAATGTCAGGCAGTCTGTAAATAAAAATAATATAACGGAAGAAGCCAACAAAGTATTATAAGCGACCACAAACGGAAGAAAACACTTGATTTACGAGGTCGATTATCACAGCTGCTTAATGATAAACTTTACCATATATATATATATATAACCACAAGTAATTAAAACACGTATTGGAGTTTCATCAGGTTTTTATGAGGAAGTACTGGTGTATTTTTTTCCGGAAACCAAAAACTAAAGTGTAAAACCGCGC